ATTTCCCTTTGTTGAACTTCATCAGATTCCTCTCAGGTCAATTCTTTAGCCTGCCAAGGTCCCTCTGAATGGCACAACTATTTGGTGTGTCAGCTGCTCCTCTCAGTTTTGTACTATCTGCAAACTTGCTGAGGGTAAGCTGTACTATCACCCCGTCCATTAATGAAGACATTAAAGAGTATCTGCCCCAGTATCAACACCCGGGGGTCAGACCACTAATGACTGGTCTCCAGCTGTACTTTGTGCTACTGGTGACAACCCTTTGGGCCCAGCCACCCATCCATTTTTCAGTCTTCCTCACTGTGCATTTTGACAGTTTATATTTAAAGATGTTGTAGGAGACAACAACAAAGGCTTTGGTAAAGGTGAGGTAGACATCATCCATTGCTCTACCCATAACCTATCAATATGGCTCTACTATTAAGGGTGTCAAGTACATTAACCATTACTCCCAATCAACATTTTCTCCATTTGTTTGGAATATAGTTTCCAGGATTAGACTATCACCTTTCAATGGATGGAGGTAAGGTTGACTAACCTGTATTTTCCTGTATCATTCTTCTTACTCTCTTTGAAGACATCACTTTATTACAGCAATTCTAGCTTTTTATACCTAGTCAATTCCAGGAAGAAAAATAAACCTTTAAATAAAGTTTATTAAATTATTTTTTCTGCTAGCATTCTATGCCACAAGAAAGATCTTGCTTTCTTTCTACTATTAGACAGCTGATTAAAAAAAAAACAAGACAAAAGTCTCTCTTAATAGAATATAATTATGCCTATTTTTTAGAAGACACATAAATTAGATATTCTTTCAGGATTAGACTGAGATTAAAGGACTTGAGAGCTTCCACAATTTTTATAATTTTGTTGTCTCCAACTGTTTTGAAAACTCTCAGAACACAGTGAAGACACTGTGCTTTTGAAAATCCCATTGTGAATTTTTGTAGGCTTACATTACATATAAAAATACATGCAAGAATTTTACAAAACCTGTAGCACAGATTCCTCACTTTCAAAATAAGGAAATGCCAGAATTTGTGTGATCTTATTTTTTTTTTTATTTTGTGTTTCTGATTCCCACATTTTATATGCATATGTATCTTTTAGTATCATGGTCACATACTTAATTTTCCTTCAGATCCCAAAATCTTCAGTGCTCAGAATAGCCAATGAACAACTAATCAATATTCTTTTTCATCTCTTTTATTCAATATTAAACTCAGACACCATTGATCTTTTGGGAATCAAGAACAAAACCCATATGCAAAGTTTGCAGGGAAGATATAACTATAAAGCCCTGAGAATTTTAGCTTTCTCTTCTTTTCTTCCCCCTTTTCCTTCATCTTTTGTCTGACCTCAGATCCATTTCCCCTACTCTCAGGACCTCTGTTTGTCCCACTCCAGTGAACCTCTCACTTGAGGGTTACCCAATGCATGGGAGCACAAGTCTTCAAATAGCAAAACAAAACTGGCTGAGAGCACAGACACTCCCTCAACCAGCTTGACTTTCAGCTGCCAGGTTAGCACGCATGGAGGCAAAGGGGTGGGAGCAGAGAGCTGAGGATGGTGCCAAAGCAGGACTTGGACAATCCAGGGTGAGACTGGATTAAACTGCTGTTGAATCACACTGTAAGTGACACAGGAGGCTGCTCCTCCGTGGCCTGGGGCTGTGACATTAATCCATACATAAAGGGAGTGGAAAAATGCTCTTATGCTGGGGATAATAGGCTCCATCCACAGCAAAACTTTGTAAATCTTGCTAAAATTTCTCTTTGTCCTCCTGTCTTAACATTGATAATTAACATTGATAACAGAATGGGGGTGACCTGAAACAATTTATTGTAACTTCTAAGCAAATTTCCATGGGTTTTTTGTTTCTTTTTTTGGTTTTTTGTGGTGGTTTGGTTTGGTTTGGGGTTTTTTACATGTACTTAAGGCTTAAATGTGTCATAAAGTTCTTGTGCATTCATCAGACTGTACAGTATCCTCCAAGGGGACTTCCTTGGCTAGTGCATTCATCAGACTGTACAGTATCCTCCAAGGGGACTTCCTTGGCTATACACAAGCTCAGAGACCAGCATGTGGCAACTTGGGCTGAGCACAAAAGAAGCACATGATGAGTCTGCAAGGTGCTCTGTAACAACGGGCACTTTTAGCTGTGTAAGAACTACATACCACCTTCTTCAGATTATCCTAATAATGCACACTGTTCTCATTTTGTATGGTGCAGCTCTCTTCAACCTCTCTTATATTATATCTGTACGAGTATTCACACAAATGTTGGCTAAAAAATTTCTGTTCCAGCTAAAAAGCATAGGGTACCTTATGTACTGAGCAATATATGGGCATGTATAGATTTCAGGAACAGAAGTGGCATTAAATATATGACAATATGTAGGTGTGAAAATACATAAATTTGTGAATAGTTGTACAACCCACACAACTCCGCTAGATTCTGCAGAATAGCAACAAATAATGCACAGGTATTGAGATGATGAACAGGTGCTGCACTTATTTGTCAGTCAGCAGAGCTGTGGGAGGCAGGAATTGAAGGTCATTTTGAAACAGTAAGAAGAAAGAGAAAGATAAATTCCAGATGGACACAAAGTAGCACTGCTCTGCTGACCCAGCAGAAGGGAACAAGCTGTAAATTACTAGAAAAAAATAGTTTTGTAAAAGGAAGCCGTGCTATATAGGCATTAATGTTCTTTCCAGCAACATAGAGCTCAGAGCATGATTATATATCTGATTTAAATACTCCTGAAAAGTGTTAGAAAAAATTCTTTACATATGGTTATTTACACAAACATAACCATGAATGAATAAAAAGACTGCACAACTACATGTATCATTAAGCAGGATACTCTGTAAATTCTCACACTAACACTTGCATAATTATATATGATCCTTCCAAACATTTAGATTTTTTTTTTGTTTGCTTCTTTAAAACTCACAAAATGTAATGAAATTCTCTTCTAAAACACCAGAGACTGCTGCGTGCCTAACAAACCATTATTTGCTTGCTCATAATCATCTTTTCTGTCTGTTAGAGTCACTGATGCATTAATTGCTTATCAAAACCTGAAACAGTTCATGAGTCACTCTGAAGATAAAATAAATATTAATGAGACAATTTCAATGAAATTCCTGTCCTCTGCCTCTTAAAGCTGTAAGACTGTATTTACTACATTTCAGAATTAGGTCTTGATACCTAATAAATGGGAAAATATTAAATATACTGACTAGATCACCATGTTTCAAGGGATCATTGCATTATTATCTTATTTGACCAAATTAGTGATCAAAGAGAGAAAGGACCAGCCAATTAAAAGAGAGAAATTAGGTGAAAGAGATACGTAGCTCTGGTGCAGTTGGAGTCAAAAATGAATGATGTGGATTTTGAAGCTAGGAAATGCTTCTCTATCTGATGATTATAACTCAACATTAGTAAGCACATGATCTTTGAACAAACACATTGGCAACAAATATCATTACATAAAAAATTTTAGTACTCCTTACATTGAATGAAGGACAGGGAGAAGGAAGGCATGGAGTTTTCAGGAAAATCAAAATAAAGCCCTTTATTTTGGATCTATATGGAATTTTCATTAAGCAAAAACACTGAGCAGAGGGCTCTTCACTGACTATTTTTTACTAAAATTCAGTGAAATACACTATTTTGAACTGTAAAAACTTTCATTTTGAAAACAGGAGTGTGCTAAGAGATTTTTAAGTCTGGGGCAATGACAATTCACTGTTGGAAATCCAAGTTTAAAACTTTTCAAATTAAATGACCCAGGATGAAGTAGGAAACACAAGTCCTTCCCTTGAACCTTTACTTGCTTGTTCTAGCTTGTTCCTGAAAATGGTAGGCAAAGAAGATCCCACAGAAATCAAAGGAGCAACAGCCTATTTCCCTAAAAGGTAGCTGTAGATCTGAAATAATTTGGTAATTAGAGAGACATCAGTGAGCCACTTTGAGTCAAACTGTTAGTGAAATACCCCTTTCCAAAAAAATGACAGCTTTTCTCAAGGAAGTTGAGCAGCAGGATATTATGGCTCAGGAAGCTGGCTGGTATAAAGTGATAAAGTGGGAAATTTGTAGAAATTAACCCTATTATTCACTGACTACAACAGCATGAAGAACCCATTATATCAGACTCTGAGTCTTAGAAAGAAATGAAGAAACCTCTATTTATTGTATTAGGCCAAGTTGTTTATTGTCAGAGGTCATGTCAGCAGCTTACCAGAAGACACTGCTTTAACTTCAGCTAATCACATATTGAGGCAGTCCTAGGAGTGCTCCTGCAACTCAGCTGATGTCACAGCACAGGGACACCCTCCTTAGGATGTACTGTAAAACTAAAGGCATCTCCCCAAACCAAGCTATCTGATCCAGCACTTAATACAGAATATGCCACTGTCAGTGAAGTCTGCATGTAAGAACACAGAGAAAAATTGCGGATTAAATATATACAAGGAAAATTCAGATTTTGGTATTTACCCTCATAAATTAGCATATATACTAGCATTTTTCCCTACAGTGTAGTTAAATAGTTTCCACTTTCCATACAGTATCCTAAAATTCTTCAATTCACACATTCACAGCTAAGAGAGATCTCACACAACTTTTTTTTTCCTTTTAAGTGTAAGGAAGGACTTACTTCATGTTACAAATGTACTGTGCTGCTTCCTCTGAAACATACAAAATTATGGAAATAATATATGCAAAGTCATAGGTTCAAGGTGGGGCACTGGTATCTAAAATAAGGATTGTTGACATTTATCATAATGTGTGTTTAAGATAACAATTAAACAATTTTCTTAGGTTCGTGAAAAGTACTTTTTGTGCTCCCAGAAACTGCTTAGTCAAATAAGGCTGAACTCATATACAAATGTATTCCTCACCATAAAAATGGCTGGAGAAATAGCAGCTATCAGTGATACTTTTCCTACTGTCAAGTTTACCCCAAGTGTGGATAAAACCAGTGTCTTACCTGCACAGATAATTCTGGCCCATTGATCCGAGCCTGTACCAGAGCATCATGAACAAGGGAATGGAAGTTCAGCAGCACGTGCTCAATGCCGTGTGCTCCACTCAGAGCTCTGGAGAGCTCCTCCAGGGACTGGATATACTCCCGCCAGTGGAGATCAACTTCTGCTACGTCAGCCAGGCAGCCTCGGATGATGTTGAGGCAGTAGCCCATGCAGGGCTTGCTCAGTGTCAGCCCCTGGCAGTGAGGGCAGTACTGCATTCTCAGCAAAGCTCTGCTGCAGTCTTTGGAGAAGCGCAGGTGATCCGTTGTATTGATCACTTCAATCCCCAAATTCAGAGCCTGCAAGAAAGTCCGGCTGGGTAAGAGTGATCTTCCCATTTGTCCTATGGCTTTTTTGGGGATGTTGCCAAAGGGCCTGATGTCTCTTCTTGCCGCTCGCAGGCACTCCGCATATTCCAGTGAAATGTCAGTCGGACCAGGGTTAATCACATGGTTGTAGACTACTGGAAACAGGGTGTCAAAAAATCTATTCACAAATTCCTCTGTGCTGATGTCTGTGCCAAATAAGAAGAGTCCAACATCTGTGAAGAACTCCTGCACGTGCACAGTAGCCTCAGCAGCCATGTTTCTATACGCACTGCAGAAAAGTGTGCTTGTGTAATTCTCAGCCAGTCTGATAAGCATTTCAAAGGTTTCTGCAATAAATCAGTCAATCAATCAATCAATCAATCAATCATTATTTTTAAGGTTTAAAAAAATAAGAAATTAGAGTAAGAACATCAAACAGTTACATTAGGACAACTTACATATATCCCAAATTTTTGCATTAGCATTTTTGAGGAGACAAACTTCTCACAAACTACAACTGTCTTTTCTATATAGGGAAGCACCTTACAAGCAATGTTACAACACAATTAATAATCCATGTTTTCTTTGCTGATTACATTAAACACAAAAAAAAAATGACAGGAAATAATTGTAAGCTGAATTATTAAGTTACAAAATACAGCAAAGTCCTATTGTACCTGTCTCTGTATATAAACACATTAGCTCTCTCATCTCACAACTCATTCTGCAAGTTGCAATAAACAGCTGAATGCTCTCACTAACTCCTAGTCATTCCTCTTACCATCCTAAACAGATTGGAAAAAGTAACATTAAAAAATATAAACAACACTTCAATTCTATTAAAACTCAACTCTTAAAGATCAGTTTTTATTTTGTGTCTTCCAGAGGAAGCAGATGTTCCAAACACACGTGAGAACATGATTTTAAACAGTGCTGTTTGGCCTGACAATTGGTATGGTCAAGAACTGCTTTCCTCAGGAACTGATGGATAATCCCTTGTTAAGCCTCAAGAACTGCATAATGAATAAAGTCTGAATGGACAAAACTTGTATTTCACGTTTTAGGTGGTAATCCTTAAATACACTGAGCAGTGTTTAATAAAACAGTTTAAGTATACTGGAAAAACATCCTTTCCTGACTTGGCCTATGATTTGCAGGCAAGAGAAAACATCAGTTTTCAAAGCAGAAGAAGAGTGTTTACACTGAGGAATTCCCTAGATCTGCCTGAGAAGGTTGCACTTTAAGGAAGGCAATGAAGCAATATATGGATCAAAAAGAAACTTAGCTTAGAGTTGAGAATAGAAACACAGACAGACATATTAAAAACATTAAACCATTTTATACACTAAATGGCTACAATTTAGTTAGTGAGTTCAAGCTTTACAAGTTTCCATGTATTTTTTCATGTTTATTTTTAAGTAAGACTGTAAAAATAAATTAAGGAAAAGCATGAAATACAGTTAATACTGTCTAAACATTGATGCTAAATACAGGCGGAATCAAAGTTTCAAACTACGTCAAGCAATTTCTGAAGCAATCTGAAGTCTGATGGTCAGTCATTGACTGAAATGTATAGTAGGAAAACCAGAATAAATGTAAAAAAGACAAGACTGGCTATCACATCTTTAATAAATACCTATGCATAAGTGCCTTATATAATAATAAAAAGTTTGTTCTTCAGGTCAGTGAAAAGATTCTTGATGATTGCAGAGAGCTTGAAATTGCGTGCTTTTTGAAAAGATCACATATATTTTGCATTCAGTCTCTCGCCAATAAAAATGAGATAAATAACACTCATTCCTCTGCTATAGGACTTCCTCTGTAAATCTTAGTTTTGTATTTCATGTATCTTAAACTGAATTTGCTGTTCTCTTTTCTATTCTTCCAACATCCACATAAGTAGGAAAAAAAGTGCTGACAGTTCACAGTAAAGAGTCAGAAAGTGCGTCCCACTTGTGTGTTTTTGGATTTTTTTTGTTGCTATGTCACTGTCACATACACATGTGAGCCTCTCCATACATGAATTTCACTATAATCACTCATAGATGCCAGATATCATAGTGATTCAGCAAAGGGATTCATTTGTTTCAAAAGTCATACTCCTGAAGTCAGTACCCTTCATGAAGCTATGTTTCCACCACTGGAGGCCCACTCAACACAGAAAAGCCTCTTGGGTTTATCCTGTGAGTTAACAGGCAGAAGTGCCAGCTGAGAAGCTCTGCAGCTCCCAACACCACCAGTGCCTCACACCTCATACCTGAGCTATGGGAGACCCATTCCCTTCTGGAGCAGCAAATGAGGCACAAGTCAGACAGGGCAGATTAAATTGATCAAGATGCCCACTTTAATGCACCTGAACCAAGGATGACATCTCCACCAGCTGTACAGGCAGTTTAGACATGCAGCTCCCATGGAGGCACAGGTACATGGGAAACTAAATTACAGCCCTAAATTAATAAATATATAATTATAATACATCTCATTTTTATTGGGGGAAATAAGGAATGCAAAGAGCATGCAGCCCTACTATGGAAACTTTAGTTGTCTAAGAGTGTTTGATAGCATTTTTAATGGTAGATACCATTTTTATTTGCCTGTCCGAAAGGGCATGTGTGTTCTGCAGGTCTTTTGTCATATCTGTAGGCTCTTGATAAACATTTTACATTTAAAATGGTACTAGGTGGCTGTCCTGAGACCATTGAACTGAATTCTAGATATGTAGTTATCACAGACTTGACAACCCTTCTTATAAAATAATGGAGCAGCCCAGAAGAGCAAAGACAAAAAAATTAAGTAAAACTTATTCTTGGTTTAGATGGTTTAAAATAATAAAATGTGAAGAATGTTCAAGTTTTTTTATTATTACTTTTCCTAGATGGAAACCACAAAGTCTATGATCTAAAATGTCTGTTAAAATCCATGGCTGCAGTATCCTATTACCAAGTGCACAAATATTAGTTGAAAGAATAAATCATGCTGCATATGGACAATCAATAGATTTTACAATGTGGTATAAACAATAACAAATCTTCAATATTGAACTACATTGCTAGTGCCTTAGCAACCACCAGATGAATGAGTACAATAATCAACTACATAATTTACTGACTATTTCTGCCTTTCTAAATAGGATGTGATGATACTGGCCACTTGTGTTTACAATTCTGCATCATACTGTTTAATTGTCATTTTATGATTTCTTACAGAATTTTTTAATTTTTTTTTTTTTTTCCTACTGGCTCATTTTCTACTTTATAACCATGGCTATTTCAGATATTTGTTTTGCTCTCAGCAAATTTGCTGACAGACAGCAAATCAGACCTATGTTTACTTTCAATATTGAAGAGCTCCTGTGAACACCTTATGATGGCAATATGTGTCATTTACAACACATTCTGATACTTCAGTGACAAATCAAGTTATACTGGTTCAATACTGTAAGCTGTAGCAATGTGTTTATCTTTTAAATCTATGGGCTGAGACTAACATAATCAGCATTAATTACTCAGCAACATAACAGATGTGATGGGTTTTCAATCAGTATAAGTCTGTTATATATACATTTTAAGTATAACTAAAATGAACTAGACAAGCTCATTTTATTGTTATCAAATGATTTTTTAATCTTCAGGGTCAGCGTCTCCATGATTTATGAGATCTTCATATTAACTGCTATATAATATCCTATAGATACTTTGTATAACCCTACTATTAATAATGTCTAGTGTTTTTCCACAGATCACACGTCAATTTTGTTTTTCTTTGGTGACAGTTAAAACTATTGTTTGTACACTCCTAAATCAAATTTCAGGGTTGTCAATATTTTAAACAATTAATTTTTTGAAAGAACAACAGTATTTCTCTTTCTGATTTTAATAATAACAAAACATAGGGCTAGGAAATTTGTAAATAAGAACTTGTTTGTTTTATGTATAGCATTTTTTCAGCTGATACTTCATACCAGTACATATATACATTATTTTTTGATAGTGTGTTTAACAAAGTGATTACAAAGTTATGTAAAACAGCTATCAGGTCATTGTTTAAAAGATTTGCTCTCTTCCCTTCCTTTAACTTTTCAGTTCCTGAGAGCCATGGGTAGTTCTAAATTGTAAAGAAGTTTCAAGATATCTATTAGTCCAGTGGATAAATGGGTTTAAAATAAAAATCAGAAGCATACACATGCCTTATTTATTAGAACAAAGAGAACAAAAAAGAAATCTAGTTTTTTTATTCCTGGACATTAATCAGATTTAATGGCAATATTGCACAGAATGAAACAGAATTTGGATTTGATTTTAAACCAGCCCTGCAATTCTCATCCTTAATAGCTTTGGCCAAGTGTCTTTATACCATAGGTACCCTAGAAAATTAATTTGAAATAAATTTCTGCGGAACCATGCTGTTGTATAACAACTATATTTTCGTAATATATAATATATTGTTGTTACACATTTCTTTACACAGATGTTCTATAAATCTGCTAAATGAGAAAATGCATGGTTCTAAATGCTGAGCACTATGTTTTGAAACACATATGGTACTTAATGCAGAGGTAAGTCTAATAAATTATTAGACTCCAGTATTAGCAGTCATCCAACAAGTTGTGAAGTTGTATAATTTGGCAATAATTCACCAGCCTAAATTACATATTATAAATTAATTCATACTTAGGGCAACATATAGAACTCAATAAATTATAACCAGACAGGTTAAAATCCATCTTTGATTTATGACATTGTATTTAGCAAGACTGCCTTTCACAGTCCAGAGGAGATCCAAAACTGATGAGCCTGGAGTATCTTAAGGATCAGCCCATAATATACAGCAATCAATAACTAAATCTAAGCAAACCTGGAAAACCTAGCAAAATTATAAATTTATGATGGTTTGAAAACTCCTATGGAAAAGTACTGCCAGTTGCCATTGATGTTTGGTTATCTTGTAAAGTTTTCCTTCTGCTTATGGGAAGCACAAATAAACCAGAAGCATCATACTCCCTTCTTCTAAAGATTTATAGTACAATCAAATGTACTTTGCATATGTTGTCCTAGAGTCACAATGAATGTCTCAGGTGCAAGTTAAAGCCAGGTAAGCAAAAGGCATTCAAAAGGTATGAAAATAAAAACAGTGAAGAAAGTAATCCACACAGCATTACATTCATAATATCTTTGTTTAAAATACATCACACAGAGAAATATGTATAGGTGTATTTGTTCCTAATTACAAAGTGACAGATATAATGCAAAATCCCTCAATCATTTACCATATCAGAAAAATGAGCTGGAAGAATCATATTCTTCATATTCTTCAAGACATATAAATGAATTATACAGAATTAACTCAT